CCCTTGCACTTGCCAGGGAAGCGCTTATTCCGCTGAGCCATCTCCCTGGCCCCAGAAAGTACACAATATTTAAACAACTGTTATACTTTGTTATTTAGGGAATGACAAGAAAAATGTGTGAATATGTTTGATACAGATGTAACTTATTTTTCTGAGTATTTTCCTGCACAATAAATGGACATGAAACCTATGGATACAGGAAGTCAATTCTATGTAATAGCACTGACTTGTCCTGTGCTAAATAATGGTCAGTACATTGCAATGGTCAATATTTCACACAATGTACATAAGGAGATGAGTTCCTGTTTACTTCTTAACAGCAGGGTAGCTCAATTAAAAGCTTAAACAATGTGAAGACACTTACCACTCTGGAGTTTATAACTGATCCCAAGTCTGGTGCCTGGTAAATCACTCCAGCAATGATATAGTAATCAGCAAGAGGGATAACTAAAGCAGGGGAGAAAATGCTTATGAGCACAGCTCTGAACACAAACTTTGAAAGAGATACATATTACAAACGCAAGTAAAATTTGACATTTTCCTATACTAAATTTAATGAAAGGTTTGGTAATTCTTTTTTATAAAGTTTTATTGGAAAACAGCTACACCCACTTATTTGCATGTTATTTGTGGCTGCTTTGGCAATAATTAAGGAAATGTCACTAAACTCAAGGGCCCACAAAGGCCAAATATTTACTCTAGCCTGCAAGAACAGTACTTCTCTAATGAGCAACCAAATTACATTCATCAGTTTAATGCACATTTGTGTGCCAATGCAATAATCAGTCAACCAAACTTTTGGGAGTAAGACCTTACAGCAAGACTGACATGAGTCCCAGCACAAAGACATCAGATGCACCAGACTTGCCTCTGACCCCACGACTGATGCCTAAAGCACACGATGCTGCCCTGGTGCCATCCTCTACAGGTTCTACACCCTGAGTCTTCTTCATCAGTCTCTTCTAAGGTCTCCTTTTCTCTAGAAAGAGACTCTAAATCTTCCATTTTGAAATTAAATTGAGATGCTGGAACCACAACTTCTTTAGCAATCTCTGAAATCGACACTAGAGTTAAAAGTTTTTTTCTAATGTCTTTACCTAATTGAAAGATACAGCCTAGACAACACTACCTGGCTTCTCTACCTTGATCCCTTCAGGGTGAACTTTTCCCAAGTCCTGGTTTGATTCCAAGATGTCTAACAATTCTGCTCCCCTCTATGCTAGATGTCTCAGCTCTCTGACTCAAAACCAAATCTAACGTCAGACCTAGTATCATATGCCTGTAATCCCAGCACTCAGGAGGCTGAGGCAGGACTGTTGCAAGTTTGAAACCAGCCTGGGCTACAAAGTAAGCTCAAGGCCAACCTAAGCTGCACAGCAAGACTATGTCTCAAAACAAACAAACAAACAAAATTCTATATTTTACACACCCCAATAGTATTTCTTCAGCAAGTTTTCATTCAATAATAAAATATAGGTAAAACTTTTGGTTGAATGTAACAATTGATTTGTATATGATTATGATATGACTGCATCTGCTAAGCATTTTATAGCAGAATGAACTCAGTCCACTGAGAAGAGAAGCAAAGTTACTTAGGCTGTCTGAGGCTCCATGGGATCCTAACTACTATGCTCATGGAAAGAGCTCGGCTGTTCTGACTGCTGGTACCTAAAGAACTGCCCTTGGGCATGTTAGCAAAATTACGGTGTCTGTGCATATGAAAAACAGAATGTGGCTTTTTTCTCTAAAATCTTTAATGCATTTATTTGGTACAGTACAAAGTCTCGCTACACAGCCTGAACTTGTAGAGATCTTCCTGTCTCAGCCTCCCTAACGCTGGGATTACAGGCACACGCCACTATGCCTATTTCGGTATCTTACACGGCACACCTGGGGTTCAGGCACCAGCACGGCATGCAATACTGGGGATTGAACCCAGGTCCTTGTGCTTGCCAGGCAGGTGCTTACACCACCAAGCTATGTCCCCAGCCCAGAATGTGGCTTTTGAAACATCCTGCTGAGCAATGTGAGGATAGCAGCCATCTACTTTCCTTCTAGAAGTCTGGAACTCTGGTGGACAAAAGACTCCTACGTGACCAGGCCTCAGTAAGAACGGCTTAACACGGGCCTCTGTGAACAGACATGTACACATGTGGCTGGACCTCACTGCTGAGCAGAAGGAATGCTAGGCGTGGCTCCTCACAGGAGGTAAAGTACAGGGAACCAACACACAGACTCCCCCAGACCCCAACTGTTATGTCTTTTTCTGTTACTAATCCAGTTGTGTGGCCTTACTGTGCAGCCTTATTTCTGAGTAAGTCTACATGCTGAGTCCAGTGAGTGTCCCAAGCAAAGCACAAAACACATGTCTTAGAAACCCTTAAAACAGAACTCAATTCATAGATGGAGGAATAGATGAATAGATAGACTATAAGTCATGTTATTTTTAAGAAAAAAACTAAAGTTTACACTGTTTACCTTGAGCAGGGGACTGCCGCTGTTGCTTTCGAATGATGAAAAGAATTGGTTCTTGAGCATGTAAAAGGATGTACTCAATTCCAACCATCTGACTGAAACAGACAGACACCTCACTCTGAATATCTACAGTGATTCTGTAGAATATGCAAATTACAGAAATTGCAGCAATGCTACAAACAGGATTAAAGTTGCCTGTGTTTGGTATTAAAACTTGGCTATTAAGCAAAACTGGCTGATTTCTTAGCTAGGTAATATACAAATGAAGAACTGATTTTTTTTAACCTTTTTTTTTTTGGTCTTTTTGAAACAGTGTTTCATTATGCAGCTGGGGCTGGCCTTGAGCTCTCTTTGTAGCCCAAGCAGATCGTAAAACTCCCAACAGTATCTTGCCTCTACTTCCCAAGTGCTCACATTGCAGTTGTACAGCATCATCATGCCCTGTTTGTAGGCGGTAGATTTTTTTTTTTTTTTTTTGCGGAACTGGGGATTGAACTCGGGCCATTCTACTGAGCCATCTTCCTAGCCCCTGAGGTGGTAGATTTTATGAAATTAAATTTTTATAGTAATTTAAATGGGTTTTGTTATAAGGTATTAAGATAAGTTATTGTTGCTTTTAAACAGGCAGATTAAAAGTCTATTGGGGTGAGAGTGAGGTTTTTGGTGTTCACTTTTTATATTTTATATTAATTATAGGCCTTGGTCAGGAATTTTTTTATTGCCTGTTTGAAACATTACTGTTTCTCAAAAAAAAAAAAAAAAAAAAAAAAAAAAAAAAATATATATATATACCACCTATGATACTTCTGTAAAAGATGATAAATTACATATAGTTTCATAAACTTTCACAATACTAATAAATTCATAATTATTTAGCATCCTTAGTCTAAAGAATCTTGCTCTGTTCAACTGAATTTTATTACTTTGTCATACAAAGAAAAAAATCTATTATAAACCAGATGATGGTATGACATAAAACATAGAATTAGATTTAAGAAGGAATAATAACTATGATTGGCTAGGAAGTACAACTGCACTGCTAAAACCACTCAGAGAGACAGTCAGATTTTAAATAGATATTATCAAGTTATACAGAAAAGACTAAGTTGCAAGTAACTACTAATAACTTCCTTGGAGAGCATATTTGTAAAAACCCAAATTTTTCTTCCAAAATTCTATTCTGTACCTCATAACATACAATTCAAAAAGAAGTGCTTGTTACAAAATCTCTGGTAGGCAAAGATGCTGCCCTCTTCAAGTGCCTTACTTCAAATGTTCTAATGTCAGCCTCTGCATTTTGACCACTTCGTTATTACATGTTCTGTCATAGAAAGGGTTACTTCTTTCGGAAAAGTAATCCAGGACACTACCACTGTTCAAAATGGGGATCCAAGAGCTGTCGACCCAAGAGATTCCCAGTAGATTATCTACAGGAAAGAAAAGAGGTGATAAAGATTAGAATCAAGGGGAAAAATCCAATTTAACAAACATCTATTTTGAATCTAAGGTAGTAGGCACCAAGGATAAGAATGACATGGATCTTAACCTGTGTTCTCACAGAAGAAATATACAAGAAAACAATGACAACACAATGCAGTAATCCAATAAAAGCGGGTAAATGGATTCTGAGCACACACAAGAGGGAGCAGAATGTTTTACCAAGGGGAATGAAAATGCTGTTTCATAGGGGTAGAAGGTAGACTTTAATACTGTATGTTAAAGATCAAAACTTGAGCAGGCATGGTGGTGCCTGCCTATCTCAGCAGTACAGGAGGTAAAGGGAGGAGGATCCCATGTTCAAGCCCAGCCTAGGCAACTTCACAAAACCTGTCAAAATTTAAAAATGGGCTGGAGGTACAATTCAGTGCTAAGGCCCAGGGTTCAATCTAGAGAGAAACCTCACCATGGAAAAAAGGATAAAGCAATTCTAAACACAGACAATTCATATACAGAACTATAAAAATACAAAATGCATTATATATTCAGAGAACAATTTGATTAGAAAAAAGAAGTGGGACCAGGGAGATAGCTTAGCGGCCTAAGCACCTCCCTGGTAAGTGCATGGACCTGGGTTCAATCACTGGTGCCCCATGCCATGCAGCCCCACACCATCCCAGCCACTGAAACTGAGCATGGTGGCACACGCCTACAATCCCAGTACTAGGGAGGCTCAGACAGGGGATCACTACGAGTCCAAGCTGTGTAGTGAGACCCTGTACCAAATAAATTTTTTAAAAAAGTGTTAAGACATATAATATATATATATATATATATATAATCTTTTCAAAAACTGAAAATCTTGAGTTTTTATGTGCTGCTCATTAAAGTTCAAACACATCCTCAGACATCAGTTAGAGATCTCTCAATTAGGGACAAAGAATAAGTTGTGGAGCTGTTATTATAGATGAGATGATAATAATTAAAAGTTAAAGGATAAAGGGCTGATCAAACAGCTCAGCCAATTAAAGCGCCTGCAAGCAGGTGCAGGGGCCAGAGGTTTGATCCCTGGGCCTGTGGTGCCACCCTGGGGCGCACTGAGATGGCAACTAAGACTGGGCTGTAAACAGGCAGATCACTATGAGTCTCATCTAGTAGTGAGACCCTGAACACCCTGTAGAATCCTTCCCTAAAATGCAAAAAAAAAAAAAGTTAAAGGATAAGTGGTAAGTAGAAATCCCTTACTGCAAATACACCAGTTTATATTTGAGTAGAATTGTCTTTAAAAAGATATGGCAAATAGATACATTTAACTCAGTGGTGTCCTAAATTTTCTGATCAAGGAGATTATGGGGCTACAGAGGAAAGTGATCTATGATGTAGAGTGTGCCTAAGGAGAGTCACATGGAGAGAAAACATTCTCTCAGGCTTTCACAGAGAGCAAATTGGTCAAGCAATGACTGTGACTCATCCACATGGCTGACACTGACAAAAGATCTACAAACTGCTGTACAGGGTTTAAGGGTAAGTCCTGAGGGGATTTGACTGACCATGTCTGATACAAAAGTTACATTTTTTTGTTATACAGGTCTTGCTTTATCCTGGTCTTAGCCATCCAGCATAAAAGTATGACAATGAGGTACAAAAAATAAAGCCATATTAACATGCTGAGCTGTAAAAGGCTCAAGTCAACAACTTCTGACATTGTCAGTCATGTGGATAACCACCTACTATTATAGACTACTGGACTATATTGGATTCCTCTGCTGAATTCATGCACCTACAATACAAGAATGGCAATGGAATACACATCTCTGACAAAAGTAAACAAAAAAGGAGGATATAAATGAAGGACCGTTTTGTAGTGAAAAAAAAAATATATATATATCATATATATTAGTTCAAAACTTTAATAGTTAAGTGTTTCTTCAAAACACTGTATCTGTATACAAAATAGCATCTACAGATACTTAGTTCAATAAGAAAGTTTTGAATAGTGCTAGTGTTTAGACAAGATATCTTGTCTGCATCTTGTGCTATGAATAACTACTACGAAGACAATATGCAATGTATTAATTATTGTAACTGTACTACTAAACTGTTTTGAAACTGTCTCATTGCTACTTCTCAATAAAAATTTTTTTTTTAAAGTTAACTAAGCATTTTTTTTTTTTAAGGAGTACTAAACCCAGCACCTTCACACTTGGCCCTCCTTGGACCTAAATTTGAGACTCTCCTATCTTAGGCTCCCAGCGTGTTGGAGTTACAAGAGTGTACCACCTGGTTGCTTTTTCTCTGCACTGGTAACAATTATTGGCCACTGGTCATGTAGATGTTTCATATCACTAACATCACTAGGTTTAAGTCATAAAACACAAAATGTCTGTAATAACTGGTTGAAAATTTTCAACCTCTCTCTTTTTGATGAAACTCAGGACCTTGTGCTTGCCAAGCAGGCACTATGCTGCTATCTCCCCAGCTCCTCAATCCTTTCTTTCTTTCTTTTTTTTTTTTTTTTTTTTAATGTATTTAGTACAGAGTCTACAGAGTCTCACCACCACAGAGCAGACTCGTAGTGATCCTCCTGTTTTCAGCCTCCCAAGGGCTGGGATAACAGGTGCGCGCCAACACTCCAAGTCTCAACCGCCATCTCAGGGGGTGGGGGGCCGGACGGGACGGGACGGGATGGGACACAGAAGGCCAGGGATCTGCACACCAGGTCAAAGCCTAGGCCCTTACAGCTGCCTAAGAAGGCGCTGAGCTACCTAGCTGGCCCCCCTCAACCTTTTCTATGCTACCATTACTCTAGCACCTTTGAAGAAGTCACATTTAATTCAAAGTGACAGGTTTGAACAAGACGAATCAAATCAGAGTCACTGTATTTTTTTAAGTAGAATGTGTTGTATGTGCCCTAAAATAAAGGAGACAAACAAATGAAATACACAGTAACCAAAATAATTAGTGCAATATTACTATGACCTAAGTAAAATAAAGAAGTTTAAAGCATTCATATTATTTGAAAAAAATAATTAGTATAGACCATTACATCGTTCATTACAAGCGGATCACGCCATAATCAAAAATGAGACACCAGGAAAATTTTCAGAAAAAGACGTATCTTTTGCTAATAAAAAACAACAGAAGATAATCAGTATTTTCAGTTTAAATTCTGTAGTCTAATTTTTATTTTTAATTTTTTGTCTTTTTGAGACAGGGTCTCACTATGCGGCTCAGACTGGCCTTGAGCTCACTTTGTAGCCCAGGCTGGTCTCGGACTCGAAACAATCTTCCTGCCTCAGCCTCCTGAGTGCTAGGATTACAGGCATGCGCCACCACGCCGGGCTTTCAGCAAGTACTTAAATACTTCCGCTGTAAAATAAATAAATACTCTCCCATTCCTAAATAACTGCAATACTGGATGTTAGATGCGAGACAGTATCAACTCAAAACTAAAACTTAACCTCCGTGGGGTGGGAGCTCAACATGGCAGTCCCCGTACGTCAAGTCCCAAGATACAACACAACAAGTAAGTTCATTATCCCACGGTCCTCTCTGGCCAAAGCCCATGCCTTCCCCCTGAGATAATACCCCCAATACTCCTACAGTACAGAGATTGTACTAGGACACAGCCCCAGCTCAGGGGGACTTTTTAAGGCACGCATCAGGAACTAGGGGAAAACTCGGCAACTTTTTTTTTCTAGGTCTATAGACACTACCCAAAAGAGCATGAGAGACCTCACAAAGAAATGTGAATCTTGTCCCCGCGAGCTGTAAGTCCCAGACGTGTCCACAATTAAGTAACAAGCACCACAACATCACCTCGAATATCCACCGCCGCCATAATTCCCAAAGCGCGGGCCAACTCCGCTTCCGGCGCACCGGAAATGACCTCAACGCGAGGCCGGAAGAGCCGAGTTCAAAACAGTACGGGAGGGGAGGAGGGACAGAAAGGGAACGCGCGGACGCGGATGCGCGACGAAGGCAAGATGCTGTCGCGAAGAAGGGTGGGAATGGAGCGGAGCTCAGGGGTGCGGGTAGGAGAACGGGCGGGTGGCTGCTGCTTGTGCCCGAAGGGAGGGCCGGGGCTGGGAGGTGAAAACGGGTTGGTAAAACGCCGGGGTCCGTGCTCCAAGCTGGCGCTCCTGCCTAAGAGGAGGAGGCGCTTAGGGCAGGGCCAAAGGAAGGACGGCAAAGGGCAGGTGGGCTCCTAGGGACAAGGTTAGGCTTCGCGCCAAGGAATCTTCTAAGCGATTGGAAAATTCACTCTTGAAGCCGTGTTGCTGTCGACGTGGCAGATTCTAGATCCGGCGGAGTTGGAGGTGGAGCGCCTACGATTTTATGTTTTTTGTTTTTTTGGGGGTGTGTGTGTGTGTGTGTGTGTGTGTGTGTGTGTGTGTGGAACCAGGGATTGAACTCAGGCCCTTGTGATTGCCAGGCAAGCGCTTATTCTACTGAGCCATCTCCCCGGCCCCAACGCGCCTACGATTTTAAAAGCTCCCAATGAACTGTTCAGATTTAGGAGCTTCCCAGCTGTTCTGTTTTTACCTCTGTGCTAGATGTGGGGATGGGACAGTGTGCACCAGAGAATTTGAGTCCTTTTCAAGATGACTTTAAGTCCACTAAGAAGCTAAACCAATCAGACACAAATTTCACAAAGCAGATAGTGCCCCTTAACTAAAATCTTAACAAGGCTAAGAGAAAAGGAATGCCCAGAATAAGGCCCTGAGGTAGAATAGAAGAAATAGGTAGAACGGAGACAAAGAAGTCAAAATTTTAAAAATAATACTTCAAAGAGAAACGCAGCTTCAGGACACAAGCCAGATTTATGTACTTCTTTTCCTTTTCCCAAGACAGCAAACCTGGCTGTCCCTTTTACTTGTGAAGGGGCCTATTTCACCCGAGCTTGCATGGGTCATCCTTTTGGTTGTCCCCATAGAAATGGTTCACCAAGAAGGGTGGGCCATCCTCTCCCACATGCTAAAATTGAGATGAAGACTATAACATCAAATTCCACAGATTTCCACCTCCCAAAGCATAGCAAAGATCACAGTTCCCGGCTATGCTGTGGCTCCTTCCTTTAAGCATCTGTGCTCCAGTAGTGGTTATGTCTTGTATCTTCCCCTAGTAAATCTTTATGCCTCCTTTTTTTTTTTTTTTTTTTTTTGAGATGGGTGTTAAACCTATGTGCTTATTTTAAAGGAGTGAGTAAAGTTTGAGGACCTTTAGACCCAGCCCGGGACGGAATGACTACATTCCAGGTACAGTAGCTGGAATACTTAGCAAGCCTCCAGGTAGGGAATGATTCTGTAACAGGGGAAGCCAAAGAAGACTGCTATAGTTCCTGTCTAGCTGCCCCCCCGCCCCCCCAAAGCCTTGTTCAGTCATGGGGCGGGGACTTCTAGAGTATGTGATTAACTCATGATCCACTGGGATTATGGGTGTGAGGACTGCGCCCAACCTGGGGCAGATAAGGAGGTGGAAGACTTCCTCTCTGTAAAAGTTGTTGCTGCTACTTCCCCATTTTTGCTCTCCGCCCTGTGCCACTGTGCCTTGGAGCCAGCCAAGTATGGACTGAAACCTCCAGTAACTGTGAGCTAAATAAAACTTTCTTTCCGGGTTGGGGAGATGGCTCAGTGGAATAAGTGCTTCCTTGGCAAGCATAGGGGCCTGAGTCCTAATCCCTGGTTCTGCAAAAAAAAAAAAAAAAGAATAAAACTTTCTTTCCTTCATTTTGGTTGTCAGGTATTTGTCCCAGCAACAAGAGAAGAGTAACTGAGATGAGGACTTTTTTTTTTTTTTTCTTTTTGAGACAGGGTCTCACCATGCAGCTCAGGCTGGCCTTGAGCTCACTCTGTAGCTGAGGCTGGTCTTGAACTTCCAATGATCCTCCTGCCTCAGCCTCCTGAGTGCTGGGATTACACCATGTGCCACCACAACCAGGCAAAAAGTGCTTTTGAAACATTCTCAAACTTTGTGAGGGACTATAAAAGCAAAATATCAGAGATACCAGCAAACAAGACAAAGAGAGAAAAGAGAACTCAAAAAAACTGCTGTGCGTGATGGCGCATGTCCGTAATCTCAGCACTCCTAGGCTGAGGCAGGAAGATCACCATGAGTTCAAGGTCAGCCTGGGCTACATAGTGAATTCAGGAGTGGCCTGAAATACATAGCGAGACACTGTCTCAAAAAAAAATTAACATGAAACCACAACTGAGATCACATCTTATTGAAAAAGCTTTTACACATCAAAAATAAATCACCAACAGTGAAAAGAAAACCCACCAATTGGAAAAATATAGCCAACAGTCCCTCAGACAAAGGACTTCTATCTAGAATCTATAAAGAATTAGAAGGAAGCAGGCCCTTGAAATTCAAAGGCCCAATCCAAAAATGGGCATCTGAGATGAATCCACACTTCTTAGAGGAGGAAGAAGGTTCATAAATGCCAAAAAAAAAAAAATGTGTATACATGAAAAAACATTCAACATTATTGGTCATTTAAGAAATGCACATTAAAACACTGAGATTCTTTTCTCCCCAGGAAGAATGAAGATCATAAAGAAATCAACTAATAACAAATACTGGAGAGGCTATGGAGAAAAAGTAGCCCTTCTTGTTGGGAGTGTAGACTGGTATAACCACTGTAAAAGTCAGGATGGAGAGTCCTCAAAAAAGTAGAATTAGAAGTCTCAATCAAGCCAACTACTCTTCTTTTGGGTATTTTTCCGGAACTGAAAACATACCACAGTGGTATGCATGCACCCATGTTTATAGCAGCACAATTCCTCATAGCTTAGTCTTAGAAGCAACCCAGATGCCCATGAACTGAGGAATGGATGAAAACGTGTGGCATTTTTATGCAATTAAGTATTGCTCAGCTATAAAGAAAAATAAACTTGAGGCTTTTATAGGCAAATGGATACAACTAGAGGCCATACTCATAAGTGAAATAAATCAGACCCACATGTGTAAACATCATCTTGTCTCGCTAGTATAAGAACCTGAAGGAGTAAATGAAATCTGAAAGATACAACAGATATTGTGAAAAGAAAGAAACTGCTTAATTGGAAAAAGCAACTGGGATGAGGGAAAGGAGAAAAGAAAGACCAAAGAGGTGGCACCGTGGCATAAGCCTGGCAAGCACAAGGTCCTGAGTTTAATCCCTGGTACCAGAAAAAAAGCAAGCAGAAGGGAGTTCAAAATGTTTAAATCTCAATGAAATTAAAGATTATTCTTTGTATGATTCAATTTTGGGGGTGTTCTGTTTTTTGTCTTTTTGAGTTAGGGTCTCACTATGTAGTTCAGGCTAACCTCGAGCTCACTTTGTAGCCCAAGCTGGTGTCGAACTCACAATGATGCTCCTATCTCAGCCTCCCCAGTGCTGGGATTAAAGGTGTGCTCCAGCACACCCAGCATGTTTCAACTTTTGAACTGAGATTCTATACTTGAGGTAGTATGTATAAAATAAGTGTCCCCAACAGAACATACATGTAATGGGCACACATTTTAGAGGCAGAGTTTTCCAGGCAGAAACATCAAACACTGTATTGTTTGACCAATTTTCTGTTATGTTTTTATTGAGAGAGCAGGAGGTTAAGAAAAATGGTGACACAACATGGATCTGTCAATCATAGAACCCCTGGGAAGCATAGTAAACCAGACCTGGGATCTCACCATTATTTTGTAGGCAATACAATAAGTGTGGCTAAACTTTTAGTTTAGGAAGATTATTTGAGGAGGATGAATTGAGGATATTAATACTGAAAGCAGGAGCACAGCAGAAATAAGGGGGAAAGGAAGCCTTTATTAACTCTGAAGGCACAGAGAAGATCGAGGGCAGGGAGATGGGCAGAGCCTCTGACCTGAGATGGAGAATGAGACCTCAAGAACTTTTGCTAGGGGTGGAGTTTGAGGGGCAGGTTCAGTGACACATAAGGAGCTGGTTGGAGGCTCCCCTGTGTGGACTGGAAAGGTAAAAAGTTGTGTCCAGGGCTGGAGTGGGAAAGGGGGAGGAAGCGGTCACTGGGAAGATAAGTGTTGTTTTGAGGATTCAGCCATGTTGAATCAGGGCAGTGATAATTTAGCAGTTTGTATTTGGGCCATAAACAACATAGCACTTCCTTCTTGTCTTTGTATTCCTTATCTCACCCTGGCTGCCCATATTAAACTTCTCCCCCAGTCTGGCCTGATAAATACACCATACTTTTGTCACTACCTCCTCTCCCTCCCGTCCTTCCCCCTTCCCCAACTTTGGTCTTTGTATAGGATCTCACTATGCAGCTTGGACTCAGTGATCCTCCTGTCTCAGCCTCCCCAGTGCTGGGATTACAGGCATGCGCCGCCATGTCTGGTTTCAGTGGCTAGCACACCACATGTCATGTGGGCCTGGGCATCAAACCCAGATCCTTGCGCTTGCCAGGCAGGTGCTTAGACCATCAAGTTATCTCCACAGCCCCTTGCTTCTCTTTAATCATCCCTCTGCACCAAACAATAGAGGCCTCCTTTATTTCTCTCCTATCTTTGTGCCAAAGGAAAGACTTACAGCATCAAGAGAGAAGAGAAAGGATTAAACAGATTTAGATGACAGAATCAAAAGGCAATTAGTGACCAATAGATGAGCCTGGTGAGGGACAGAGAGAAAAAATGAATCTCATGATACTGATTTATAAGACTGGGTGCTATTAAGCACATTAAGAATAAAAAGTTACAGGGGCCGGGGAGATGGCTCAGTGGAATAAGCACTTCCCTGGCAAGTGCAAGGGCCTGAGTTCAATCCCTGCTTCCACAAAAAAAAAAAAGAATAAAAAGTTACAAGTGAATAGATGAAAGGGAGTAGTGATTTATTTTTTTAACATGACTGTATGAAATGTC